TGCACCGTCTATGACATACGATCTCTTGAAGGAGGATTTTGACTATACGGCTATTGCAACCGTCACTTTGGGCATGATTGTCGCATCGGTGGTCACTCAACGTCTAGCCGCTCGGCGTGCCGTCATGCGCGCGTGGTCATGAATTGGACTATGCTGTGCTGCTCTCCACATGTTGTTCTTCGTTCCCGTAATTCATTTGACTGCATTGCAAAGACTGTCCACCTTTCTCTTCGCTCATCCAATGTATGTCCACCCCATCCCATGTAGCCGGTTTTTATTTTCTGTTGTTTGTTTTGTTTGCGCTTCTGTTTTTAAGCCCCTACAGCATCACAGTAACNAATGCTTCATTATTTTTGATCGATAGTGGCTGTACAGATGTGATCCGCTTCTGGTTAGATACTCTGTTTTTGTTTTTTCTCACTCTCATCCTTTTCAGTTTGAAAGAAACCTGAAGATACGTATCAGCTCTCTCTGTTCATGCCCATTTAAACCGTGAAATCCAAATAATGCATTCCTGTTTGGTCAACCTCGTAATGACTGCTAACTTCGACCGATTGTACTGTTTTCTTTTTGCGCACATCCACTTCTCAGGCTTTGGTGTTATCATCAGAGGGACAGTTTATTCTACCGATCAGAAAGGTATACAGAAATGTGTCCATATTCATTCCTGTTCGAGTCATTTCAGCAATCTCTGCTCATGAGTAATCCAAATGAATTAACTGAAACATCTTGCGTAAGCACAACTAACAGTCCACTGCTCCCTCCTAGGTGTTGGTGCGAATGAGGCTTCGTCAATCCCACTCCAGAAGGCCAACCGAAAGGGTCCTTCCGTCCAATAGTGCAGTGCAATTTCTTCTTTCGTACTCACCTTCTATTAGTTTTATAGTGAAACAGCACCATGTCAAAATCACGTACCAGTCACAGGCTAACAACGATATAAGCCTAATGGATTGCCGTTCCAGGGTCAAGCGATTTTCCATCTGAGAAGCGAAGAAATGTCAAACCCAACCCATCTAACTGAAAACGATACGTTTGCGAGTGGAACAGGTGGATGAGTGAGAAAGGCACTGACAGCAGAAAGATAGGGATGGGAAATATCAGATAAAATTTTTTTGGGGAATGTTTTACGGGGCTTCAGGTGGCGTGTCACCACATACTATACCTGATGAGACTACAAATCGACAGAAATTTATGGATCGGGAAATAAGTTTGAGGTCCGTGTTAAAATGACGCGGGGAGATAACGGGAGAGTCAGTGAGGCAAAATAATTTAAGACTTAAAATGTAAAACGTGAGGCTCCTGATCTCGAGAAAAGCGTCAACGTGGTCGGACCCGGTTGAACATCACGCCAGGGTTTTCAACAGACAGTAGTCGTTCCATCTAGTCATTAAGGATAGATTCAGGTAGGCTAGTATTTGATAATTCATAATTTTGGCCTTTCAAAAATGAAAAATTTACGACCTTACAATTTCGAGGGCTCATGCAGAGGTTCCTTTGTTGAGACCGCTCAACTATTTCGGGCGTTATCTTGCAGAGTGGTTTAAAATGATAGGTTGGGGAAGAGCATTGCAAATATTATATCGTTTGCATACTCAACAGGAATAAAAGAATGGCTCGCAGGCGTACAGGAAATTTAAGCCGAAAATAGAAAACGGGATGCGATTGCGCCTTGTGCGGAGAGTGAAATTTGTAGCGGTAAGCGCGCAGCATCCAAAAGCGGCTTTATTCAAAAAATTCAAGGTCATTTGATCGATCTCCATTCTCCACGCCCTGGAAAATCCCAACGGAAGACCACATTCGCTCAGGACAGGACAGATCACCGGACTTTCGGCGGA